ACGTAAACATAACTTCGAGCTTCTTAGCCGTTGCTTGTTCAAACTTCTCATTTTCCGAATTTATTTTGATAAAGAAGAGAAAAAACGATAGTTCTTTATGCCTGTTACAAGAATTGTCGAGAACTAATTACGATGGCAGGATCAGGATTGAAGTAGCAAGAACTCCTTCCATCCGCCATATTGGCGGGCCGCCAAGGTCACTCGAAATCGGCCTTCTCGATATTTTCCAAAGTAAAAGGAATTGGAACTTTTTAACATCCATTTCGCTGTTAGGACTCTACAACAAGACTGCAAGCCAAATTTCAGCAAAATCGGCGAGGTACCGTGGCCGCGACCTTTTTATATAGCTCGAAAATAACTGAGTATGACTCTTAACAAGTTTTTGTTACTCCTAAATGTTGCGTGGGTAAATAGAGGATTGTATTGCATTGCATTGCATTGCATTGCATCGCATTGCGTTGCCTTGCCTTGTCTTGCCTTGCCTTGTCTTGCCTTGTCTTGCATTACCTTGCCTTGCCTTGCCTTGCCTTGCCTTGCATTGCATTGCACTGCATTGCATTGTATTTTATTGTACTGTTTATTGTACTGCATTGCATTGCATTGCACTGCATTGCAGGAGCTCGGGCTGCAGGGATTCCATTCAGAGGACAATGCGTTATACAAATAAATCTGAAAGTTAATGGCCCTTCCGTTCCTGCCTCGCCGCCAGATCAAACATATGTTCCTTCGCCTTCAAGTTGACGCCCAAAATGAGCCCGGCTGCAGAACCTCGTCAGCTGCATGAAACGACAATGGATCGAAAGCACGATTTTCCTATCAAAGAAAACGAGTGTCTACAGACAAGAGTGGCCATTAAAGACGATTCTTTGGTTCCTCAAGGATCCACAGATTGGTCGAACATACCCGTCTATGAACTCAAAACAGTTCTTTCGGGGTGGGGGAGGGGAGGGGCTTTTGTTAGAAATGAATCCGAGTAGTTGTCGATACATTTATTTCTTCGAAATCACCTTTTGACATTTTTAGGAACCTCCACGATTTCTCACATCTTTAAAGGAGACGCTTTACTTTTCACATTCAACTTTTAAGCCATTAGGAAGAAAGCTCGTACATGCAAGGGTTTAATCTGACTGATAAACATGTTTTTTTGGTTCCTTTTAAACATGTTTTGTTAAAAGCCATGCAGTCGGTCACAGTTTATAAAAGAACTAAGAAACTTACTCCTTATGCGTTACACTCAAGAGCTTCAAGTTCCGAGAAGCACTTCACGCGTCTCGTGTTTCTTTTAGTACTTCAGGAGTGTTGTGCTGAAAGAATCCCCTGATACATTACTGCCAGTATATTACCAAAACCTCCCACATAACTTCTTTACAAGGACACAAGTGCTAATCACGAAATTATAAAGAGGCAAGTCGGTTAAAGAAGCAATCCCGTTCCTCGAGTCTTTGTTCTTTACTGCGCAAGCTTGACGAAACGAGCGACTCCTGAGAGTTCCGTTGCAGGTTTGATTTTGATTGGTTTTAGCAAAAATGAACCGATATTTTTAGACTTCCAGTCGGATCTTTTTCAAGGTCGCTCTTTAACCGACCGCAAGTCAAGGGGAACGACGACTCTGGATACGAGGTTGTTAAAGAAGCCCGCCTATCGTGCACATGACCCAAACAACATGTTTTCATTGATAGAAACCGAAAACCCATGTCTTACTTTTGAAGGAGCTCAGTCACGGTAATTTGAGTTATTTTCCCCACATACAAAATTACATTTAAGTGGTAGGAAAACTGAAAATAACACTTTTAAAAGATAAAAAACACCAAAGAGATGATGATAAACCATAAAGGAATAAGGATGGCTAAGGATGGAGAAGATTAACACGGATTACATGCAAACAACGAATTTGAAAAAATTGAGGCTAAACTTTTCAATATGAGCAAACCGTGACTTAGCTCCTTTGAGATAGTTACTTCATAAGCCCAGTAAAGCCATAAAAGGGATGCTATAATGAGTTACACATGCACATGGCTGTAATGTCAAAATGAAAAATCCCAATAGACTTTTTGAAAGTATGTACGCGTGTATTTTAAATGTTGTTTTAATCTTGTTGTTTTAGGAGCGAAGGTACTCGGTCATAATGTTTAGCACTGTTGACCAAAACTGCAGCCCAATCTCCGTAACAAGGTCCAGCTGTATATTATTTCCTAAGAAATAAAAAGACCACATTGTCGAACTATCGTTAGCTATGACATAAACTTAAGGACGGTGCCTACTTTTGTTAGTGCGCACACGTTCTGCGCATCACGCAAGGTATGGTTTAAGCGCCACGCGCGCGCTGGGTTGACATGAGGCAATCAACTACGCTACCAAGTACACGACTAAATTGAAAGCAAAATTTTCCTGCTGTGACCAAATCAAGTTTAATGAACCTGTACTTAAACCACGAACACCAGAACAGCAACATATCGCTAACCACTAACTGTTAACTTCTTCCAGCTGAAAAACTAGCTGTAATCTGTCGAAAATGATACTGAAATCCAACTGTAAACATGTGCCTGCAGATGGCGTAATGCGCGTGCAAAACAAGTGCGAGATAAGCATATGTTTTACTTACTGGGGAGGTGACAGGAAAAAATGTAACAAGCACCGTAAAAAGTTTCAAAAAGATCAATAACTTTAAAAAACGCGTGGTTACCCCTATATTTTATGTTATGAAATGGAAGTGGCAAGCCTATTCAGCATGTGATTAGTTTCTGGTTGTGAGCAAATGATATTTAGACTGTATTTTAGCTGAAACAGAGGAAGGCTGTCAGAGACGCTAAAAGTGCTGTTGCAACGATACCAAAAATGGTTTTTATGTTACCATTTACCATGTAGTTTTCAGATCTTAATAAAATTGTTTGCTTTTCTGTATGTAAAGGCGAATTCTAAATACCCTCTCCTTCTGTTTTCAGAAAAATGCTGATGTCAGCATTTTGTTGAGATTCAAGGCTAATTAACTCGGAAAACTGCGTGGCTACCCCATTTTTCTTCGTGGATTCCAATAGCCCTCGCAAAGATCTACTTTTTCCGCGTGGTCCTAACCTGGCGCAAAAACCTTTGTATTTAGTAGGCACCGTCCTTAATACTCGGAAAAGAAGACAGAAATATCTGATAGGGATGAACAGAAATACGAGTCGTATGATTTCATACCAAGTTATATGTTATACCAAGTTGTATAAACAACTACTATAAATGTTTATTTTAAAGGGCAATGATATAGGTACTGAAATTTCCTAATAAAACTCGTATTGAAAGAGAAGCTAATGGCTCAGCGGCTCTCAAGCGGCTACTGGATTATAAATAATGAATATTCATGCTCATTAACAAACTGATTACAGGTGAACTTACTGTATTGATTAGCCCCGCTTTAAGCTTATAAACATCGACAAATTGTCAATAATACACATCTGGAATCTTTATAGCTGCCATCTAGTGTCTAACGACAA